TATAAGGTTTGCACCTCATCAAGCCATCACCATAATACTTGAATATATACTTACCCGCGCTAGCTTTATTTAATAAGGACACGTGGGCCCTACCAATGTCGTTTTTCTTCAAAATCCTTTCTTACTTCATCTCCCCCATTTGATTAGTCTTATAATCCTCTTTTATGGCTAATTTCAATAATAAATAAAATATTAATATTTTAATATAATTTTATTAATAAAAATATTATTTTATTTTAAAATTTTTCACTTGTCTCCTCGAGACCCAAAATGTCTCACTTTGTCTCAATTCACCTCCAGTTAACCTTTTAACTTGCTAATTCATCTTCGATAAAATTATTATTATTTAATTACTATTTTCTCACGTACGAAATATTTTATTCCGAATTATTCTTTTCTCCCTCTAACACTCTTAAATACTCTAATTAACCTCAATTGGTATCCGATAAGCTCTATTAGCCACTATATCTGAGTACGGGGTGTTACAGTCTCCCCCACTTACAACAAATTCTTCCTCGAATTTAAATCAATGAAAGGTGAATAATCAAAATTCTAAAATTCTGCCACATCACATTTGTTGGACATTTTTAGCACAAGATTTTGATTTACTCATTATATCAACTTTCAATCTTTATAGAAAACTCAACAATGCCATAACACATACAATTATGTGTACTACATTTCTTAAATCAGATCATTATTATTCTTCTTCTAATATGAAGATTTCAAATATATCATCACTTCTAGTTGCATATTTGCATAACCACCCACAATTTCTCTACCTTGATCTCTTATCAAGCCTTCTAACATTCAAGCATTTACTCCACCATTGACTACGGGTCTAATTGTCAACCAATCTTTATTTCAGTTTACATACTTCCATACAAATCCCATTCAAGCATTTGATAATGTGTAAAGATCAAAACACGTTTTATTCATTTCATGTATATTAAACATCACAGATGATTCAAATCTAGTAATCATATTCCTAAAAACAAAACTCCAATATTTTCATGATCGAGTGCTTACTAGATAAATTTCAACTTATAACACAATACATTTTAATAAATAACGATATTCTTGTATTCATCCTCATGGACTTAACCAATCTCTTTAATCACTAGCTCAACTTCTTAATATCAAAATTGCTCACAAATTTACTTTAAAGTTCCTTTCCAAGTCTTATCTTGATTACTAACCATCTTTATAATTCCCGAGTCATAACCAACTTATTAGTTATATGCCACATGCAAACATATCTAACTTGAGATTCCTCAAAGTCATTTCAAATGCCAAATCTCACGACCTCATTAGTTCATCAATCCGAAGATGAAATTAGACACTTATCTTTTCTTAGGTGCTCTTTAAAACCAAAGAATCATCTACTAAAACCTTTTCAAAATTAACTTCTTTTAGCCTTTTTACCTTAAGGAATTAAATCAATAATTAATCATTCCCAATCATCACTTTATGCCAAACAAGGCAGATTTTAAACTTTTCTTACACACATTCAAATGCACAGCTTAATATAAGGCTTTAAATTTTTTCAAACCTTTGTGTATCGAAACTCTATATTGGAGCTATACCAGAATTGATACATTCTTTTCCATTGGCCCTTAGGAAATTAAATCCATGGCTTACTTCTTTATTTATGTACTTCATAATAGCCTAACAAATTGTAGCTTACATTTAAGCTTGTCCGTGTGCCGAACCTCTCAGGCTATATCAAAGATACCAAGCTTGATCGCAAAAGATAGAACTTTATGAATGAATATCAAGAGTACAAACACTTGCCTTTAAGCTAACAACATTATAATCAACTTATTTACTACCAAAATCACCGATGGATCATCTTAGTCATTGTCTAGTGCTGTAGCCACTAACAAAATATCATCATTGAACAAAATTATAACCAACTCCATATGAGTTGGTCAGCACCTTCGTTCACATTACTACTAATTTCAAGAATTCATTTTTCTTTATTTTCATAATTAGCCCCATTAATATATGTTAAGGCATTCTCAATCTTATGCCACGCCTAAAATCAAGTAACCACCAATTAGACTAAATCCTTCTATGGAACATCTCTTTCCATATGATGCATGTTAATCACAAAATGTACAACTTCAAGTACATGCCTACATCTTGATAAGCTCCATACATTTCATGATCATGAAAACATAGGTTACAAAACTAGCTTTTTATCATAAATACTCAACCAGAACATTAATCTTAACATATCTATTCCACATTTTGTGGTATGCCAAGGTCATGCTTTGGGCATATTTCACCACTAGCCTTTATTATAACATTTAGTGCAAACTGGGTTAAGTAGTGACCTCCAAATAACTCTTAGGTACATAAATATCAGATTATACACCACTTAGTGTTAAGATCTTGACTTTTCTCATCAATCTTAACCAATTACATTTATAAAGTGGACAATTCACTTAATTACTGCATCTCACCTTTACGATCATAAGATCAAAGTCTTTTAAACTTAGGATGCAAAAGCTCCCTCTTAGAGCTTATCCAAGAATTAGCATTCTTCTAAGTCCCTTACCTTTAGAGAAATCACATTTAAGACCAATCATTTATATCATAGGTTGTATACTAATCCAAATAGATTCTTAAATTGATCTTTAAAGCAATTGTATATCATGCTCAAATATAAAACTCCATATAGCATTTAGACTAGATTCAACAATTCTAAGTCATTTCACTTTAAGCTACCAAATCCACAACTAGTCCTTTAATCCTTTTGCTTCACACTAGCATAGCAAAATTTAAGCTCATCCTTAGAGCAGATTTGTTTACTAGCCATTTACTTGATGATCACACATCAATTATAACAATCACTGATTTTCACCCTTAGGCTAATTCATATACTTATAACTATATGCCATAATAGTTCAAATAAAATCTTGAGATTTCATAGTCACTTAATTGAAATCAAAACCAGCTTCATCTAAGCTGCTATGCACATTAAACACATATATGCATATAATATGTTTTAGAAGCCTGACACTATTTATATATGTGCATGGCAAGCTCAATTAACATAGTGCACTTACCTCCATGCACATGAGTATTGGTTTACACCTCCCTCAATACTTAGATTTATAAACCTCAAATAAATCAAAGCAATCACTATTCATTCCAATACAGGTGCGCCTCTTATTACCAATATTGTATGTGCTCCTTTATATTGACCTCGTTAACAATTCAATGTCATCCAATTTCTTCCCATTAACAATCATGGGTTCAAGTTTTAGCTTCACCAAACGAATTAGTTATTACAGACCTATTAGTCCTTCTTCACCTTCTTCCATCCTTAGTTGGAGGGATATGTCATTACATTAACCTTTCATTAGGAGCATTTTGCTTCATGATTTTTCCAACAATGGCTCGTGTCTCGAGTGGCATCTCAAACCTGGACGATAACACTACTTATGATCTTTATATGACATTAGTAAAAAGGTAGGTTACGAGGAATAGGAGTTTATATAGCCTCATGTCTATGTCTTATGCTACAGTCACAAACGATAAACAAGACTCTATATTGACTTCGACAACTCCACTATTTGTCACAAGAATTCCTAGAACTTGACTAAACCTAGAGCTCTGATACCAAGTCTGTAACGACCTCTTACCTCAGTCGTTATTGACGTTCGAGACTTGCGAGTGAACTTGCCAAATCTCAAACAAGCCTTAATTGAAACTTTAGACATTATGCATCAATCCATCAAATTGCTTGAATCATATACCTCTTGTAATAAGAATTATACATAAATCATAATAAACCAACTTATCTTTTATTCACCAAAATTGTAAGAATACATTTGAGTTTGTAGTATCTAACTGCATATTTATATTGACACTATTTACAAATACTTCAAGCTATGGATGACTCAACCTCTAGCAGTGGAGCAACTCAGAATAAAGTGCTATGAAATGCTTTTACCTATCTGCAATGGACCATAAACACCGATGCTTGCACGCTAGGTCGATCACTATCTGCAAAAAAGAATATAAGAGGGTAAGTCTCATAGACTCAGTGATCATCGGCTCCATGAGAAGAGTGTAGATGGGGAACAAGCTAAGAGTAGAAGTTTTGAATCTTAAAAATATAAGAATGTATGTAAACAATTAGGCTCAAAAGGGTAATTTGTGCTTTATTTGTAAAACCAGAAAGTTAATGCAAGATAATAATCTAAATCAAATATCAAACCAATTCATGTAAAGATTTCTGCCATCGAAATCATTTAACAACTTTGCTAAAATCAAATTAGTATAATTACACACGCTCCCATGAAATCAATCATTGTCAAAGTTTTTGCACAAGCTCATAAATCATCTCATCACCAAGGTATTAAACACAACATCATTTATTCATAATCAATATATAAAGCACTGAAAGCTTTTAATCCAATAGGGGAGCGGCGGAAAAACTAGTATTTCTCAACATGCAAAAAATTGCATATGTGAAAACCTAAAAGGATATCACTCTCAAGTAGATAATAGAAATAAAAATCTCTCGAACCTGTTTCCACGTAATAACATATGGGAGCTCCGCTCCGCCAGATCCCCACAGCCATGGCAGTCTCAATGATGTTGGTCGACATCGGAGAAATCAGTCGATCACAATTGCGTATATCACTTATGGCCTAGCCATATATATCAATCCGTGGCCTTGCCATGTATATCACAGACCATGGCCCCAGCCATGTCTAACAGCCCTCCGGTAACCCAAAGGTTTTCTAGCTAGAGTTCACTTGTGCACAAGGGTCACATTTAATCGAAGTGACAACTGACTTACTCTCGAATCTCTCGATTTGATAATACCATTTAAAAGCCAAATTAAGTTTTCAAAGAATCATTTTAAATCATTTTTAAAATACCGATCACAGTAACATGATAAAACCCTTTTTTTGTAAGACTTTACATTATAAACCTTTTGCATGAGGTTTAGATGTCAAATCAGCATGGTGAGTATGAAATTGATTCATGAATGCACATCACACAATCATCAAGGCACATTTTGATAGAAATTGTAGTAAAAAGCTTGTTTCCTGGTTTTAAAATCCTTTACGTACATAACTTGAATATATATGATCAAGACAATTTTAAATACTTTGACATTCAAAAATTCCTAGGATATCTACCAGCTCATGTTATCCACAAATCGCATTTAAAATAAATCAACACGTTTATCCACTGTAAAGTAATATATATATATATGATATGATATGAAAATTTGGAAATCGACACCCCTTACTCACCTTACAATAGTGGGACGCTACATCGCTATTGATTCAAGTGCGTATCTAGCTAACCCTACTTGCCAGTCACTCGTTGCCTTGCCCGACAGGCCACTACGACAAACTTTCTTCACTTGCACAACTTCCTAGCAACCATTCAAACTCAACACAATTAATTATACTTAATTATGGGCAGCACATCAATCAATAAATCCTTAATCTATTATTCGCAAATATTTTAACTCACAATCCACATACTTTCAACCAACCCAATCCAGCATAACACAATGTAAGTACATTCCATGTTTACCTTTTGGTTTTAGCTTGAGTTCCACACAGATAGCTTGCAATTTCCTCACATCCATGGTCATCATAGCTGCCACAAACATGAACAATTAGCACACATCTCATTTTTCTTGTTTACTTGTGATTTCAAGACCAAAATACTTACCTATTGCTTATCTAGCTCAAAATCACCATGAATTACAAGATCCACTTGCATGCATACCTCAAGTCCTTTGAATCCTTGAAGAGTCTTGCTACAATCAAGCAAAATCTCACATTACACTAGGTTTATAAAGTATGCATTTCAAGCAAAATGACAAATCTTTTTACCTTCCTTGTCTCGGGTTCACTAGGTCGAACCTTCCATTCTTCTTTTTTTTCTTTGCTTCGTTTCTCTTGTCTTCCTTTCTCATTTTCTTTCCAAGGGTATAGGTTTTCTCAAGGTAAAGTCAGTTTGCTATTCTTTGGTGTGGGCGGATTCTCCCAAGTTCCCTACACTCAAATTTCCTTTTGTTTATTCTTTCATGGGCCGATTGCCCAAAGTTTGGACATTTTGTCATTTTCCTTTTACTTTCATGTGGTTAAAATCACAAGGTAAAAAGGTTTTTGAAACCTTTTCACCCACCACCATCATGGTCTATTCTTTTTCCTTTTTTTTTCTTTTCTTTTCTCTTTACATGTCATGCCAATCAATTCTTCTCTTTGTTATTAACGCCACCTCTCATTGGTGGCTTGTTCATGCGATATTTTCTTATCCCTTCGTTTATCCTTTGGTTAGATTGCCTTGTCCATGCATTGGTCCACATGCTGTTCTCTTTTGATTTATTTCACTTGCATTTCATTCCACATGTATTTCTATGCATTTCATTTTCATTTCCTTTTAATGCCACCTTATCACCCAATAACATTTCATGTTATGATTATACCTTTTCCTTTTCAAATCACATTGCCATCCTTATGTTGTTTACTGTGGGCTATCCTTGCCAAACCATGGTTTTCTCCCATTTAAATATTTTTTATTCCTTTTTCTCTTATCAACTTTCACATGGTGGGGTCTCACATGTTTCCCACTAGCTTCCTTCTTTTTGCATGCAATGATTTTCATGTAATAGTAACTTTTATATGCATATCTCATAGGCTTCATAGTCTAACCTTCCTTGGTTAGGAAATTCGCCTTTTTAACTTAAACTTTTGAAATTGCAAATGAGTCCTCAAACTTTTCCTAATTTACCATGTGACCCTTCAAACTTTCATGCTTTATAGTTTAGTCCTTTCAACACTTTTTAAATTCCAATTTCCTCTTACTTTCTCTCCTTTACATGTGTAAAAATATAATATAAGGTTTGCACGTCATTAAGGCATCACCATAATACTTAAATATATACTTACCCACGCTAGCTTTATTTAATAAGGACACGCAAGTCCTACCAATGTCGTTTTTCTTCAAAATTCTTTCTTACTTTGTCTCTCCCATTTCGATTAGACATACAATCTTCATTTATGACTAATTTCGATAATAAATAAAATATTAATATTTTAATATTATTTTATTAATAAAATATTATTTTATTCTAAATTTTTTTACTTGTCTTCTCGGGACCCAAAATGACTCACTTTGTCCCGGTTCACCTTTGATTCACCTTTTAACTTGCTAATTTATCCTGGATAACAATATTATTATATAATTACTATTTTTTCGCGTATAAAATATTTTATTTCAAATTATTGCTTTCACCCTCTAACACTCATAAACACTCTAATTAACCTCAATTGGTATCCAATAAGCTCTATTAGCCACCATATCTGACTACGAGGTGTTACATTGTGGGAGTAGGCAGTTGTGGCCTACATCTTGGTGAGTCCATTTTTTTGTCTTAGCACATGTGGAATGAAAAAGAGTCTATTAAGCTCTTGTTTTTTGACCTTGGTAAGCCTAGGCGAGTATAATTTCATGGGTTTTCATTTTATGGTTGGGGATTTATTTTTATAAATAAGCATTAATTAGATGTCCTTTTAATGTGTTTTTTTTAATAATAAAATTAATGTATTTTACATATATGTGCATAACATATTACCGTATTGTTGGTCTTGTTGGTGTGCTAGAGAAGGGATGAATAGCATTTAAAATTTTAAGGTCAAATTTTTTTGGAATTGAAGAGCAATTAATGAATTAAAGGATGAAAGATTTAAAACTTGTAGTAGTTAGAAGACACCAAATAAAGATAGGTAGAAAGAAATGGACAATGCACTAGGATTTATAGTGGTTTTGTCCCTTTAATTTACATCAACTACCTTGATCTCTTAATCAAGGATTTCAACTCAACTTCACTATACTAAGGGAATTAACAAATTCCACCAAGTTTTTACAAGGTAAGCTTCTAACCCAAGCTCTAATCCTTTATAATACCTTTTTGAATGCTTCCCATGCTCCAAGTTCCCAAGAAAATAAGAAAAAGAAGTTCAACTAGAAATCTTTACAACTTTGGAAAGATTACAAGCAAGCTCAAACACTTTTCCTATAATAAGAGTGAAGAACCAACGTTTTTGGTGAAGGTTTTTTGGCTTTTTACTCAAAATGGCTTTTTTATGCTTCAATCTCCCTTCTTTGACCGTTGAAGCTTCAATTTATACTTAGGAAGTTAGATTTTGCTGTTTAGGATAGCTTCAAGTGTTATAAACAACTCTGATGCCATTTTAGCCATTATTTTAACTTCTAATGTTTAAATTTAAAAAGGCAAATAGAATTTGGCTAACTAGTTATGGGCAAGCTCTAACCAATTACAACTTTTCTACCTTGCACTATCTTGTAGCTGTGTACATTATGTTAATCGATACAAGAAACTTTAACTAATTATAAATTTTTTGCTTTCATTTTCCTTCACATAGTAGTTTTTCTTTAATTGGTTAGCTTTTCCCTTAATTGGTTGAGGCTTCACTTCTTTCAACCTTATCTGATTAAAATAAGATTTAATCAATTAAAAAATCTTTGAATTTTGAACTTCTTCATTTTGGCTCCCTTCAACGATCAACTTTCTCTCAAATTTCATTTTTGTGCTTGAAGGTACAAGAGCCTTGTGCTCTACCTGATTAACCAAACTCCTTAATCGATTAACATGACTCTGTTTTTAGCCTCTAACACTTCCCTAAACAGTTAAACCTAGTGTTAACTGATTAAGAATCCTTTGTTTTGTTTTAATCTAGCGCTTAGTTATGCCTTAACTAGTTAAGGTCTCCCCGTTAATTAATTACCAAAGTTTTGTCTTCACTAACCTTTTTTGTTTTTCTCACTTTCGCTGATTAACTTTTCTTTAGACTAAGCAAGCATCTTACCTTGCTTTTAATTACCAATTTTGTTAAGGAAATTAAACTATATTTTGCACACTCAAATAATAAGATTGAACATTAATGAATAAGGAATGTTTTGTTATCATAAAAAATATATGGAGTTAACATTTTTCCCTTTTTTTGATGATGTCAAAACACTTTTAGATTAAAAGTGCAATGTTTATATAAGAAAATAGCTTTATGTGCATATTGGGGATTTCTCCCCCTAGATATGTACTCCCCATAAATATGTGCACTAAGAAAAATAAAAAATTCAATATAAAAGCATGAAAAATAAATCCATTCAATCATGAAAAGATACATACATATATATATATATAAGCATTGTTCAGCCATTCAACACATATTGAGCAGAGAAACATAAATGCAACACAACGTAATGCACATAAACATTGTTCAACATAAAACACAGCCATAGTCCACCCTAGTCTATCCTTTATTTTCTCCCTTTTTTTGTCACCATGCAAAAGAGGGATCCTTCTAATTAAATTCGAAGTAATACTCATTTAGTGAGGTTTCATCAGTTCCTAAGTGAACATTAAGAGGTTCAACATGGAAGGAATAGAGGGATTCAGGTTCAAAAAATAGGAGGATCCATAAGAGATAACCTAAGGTGATGCAAGTTTGAGAGTTGGCTTGGCAATGTACTCACCTATCCTAGCAGATTTTTCCCTTTTGAAGGCCTTGGTTTTCATGGCCATTGTTTTTTTTTTTTGCCCTTCTAGCTGTTTTCTTTACTATAGGCTTAGTGTCTACTGCTTTTCCTTTATCTTGATTTGCTTGCCTTACAATTTTTTCTTTGTCTTGTTGGATTGACTAAGCTTCTTATTCCATTTTTTTCTTTTTGTTTAGCCTGATCAGCTTTAACTTCCTTGAGAATTTCTTTGATAAAATTTGAAAGCAATATGCCTTCAAATTCTTCAAGGGGACTTTCATAAGTTTTTACAGCAACTAATTGTCTTTCATTCTAGTTTTCTTCCTTACCTCGATTTTCCTTCTCCACTTCTTTTTCTAGATCATTTTCCTTTTCTATTTCTTTATCTTTTTTTTCTTTTTCAGTTTTTTAGGTTGATTCTGCTTCAGGAATTATTTCAGTATCCTTCTCTTTTTCATTATCAATTTTCGCTTTCATAACCTCTTCTTTATGCTCAATGGCAATGCTCTCACAATACACACTTACAACAGTGGCTTGAGCTTCAGAGGTAGAGGGTTTGGTTCTTTTTTCCTGGAGTAGGAGACTTTCAAAGTGTTGTAGCTTTTCCTTAACTTTT